CATTAGGACCCACATGGACGGCAGGGTGAGCGCCCCCTGCTGGCCCCACTAACACCTCTTCCAGCAGCAACCTTAGTTTTTCCCAGGAGTCTCCCATCCAGGTAGTGACCAGGCTCACACCTGCTGAGCTTCAGGGGGGTACCAGCTGGGAGCTGCAGAGTGATATGGCTGCTGGCTAATAATAATAATAATCCTTATATAGCACTTTTCAGGCCACTCCACTCAAAGTTATAGGGACCCCCCTCCACCAAAATACACCAGTCCGCTCACCACACATCAACTCTCAATGGGGAGGAGAAAAGACTGATTAATCCAGTTCAGAGATGGGGATTATCAGGAGGCCATGATTTGTAAAGGCCAGGGGGAAATTTGGCCTTCACACCAGGCTAACACTCCTATAGTTTTTAAGAAACACCCTGGGATTTTTAATGACCACAGAGAATCAGGACCTCGGTTTTACGTCTCATCCGAAGGACGGCGTCATTTTTATCACCTGGCAACGTCTTACCTAGCTGAAGGTTTGAAACAGACGGTGTCCTGGACGAGAGGAGTCATTCCCAATGTTTTCTGCTCCCTTCTTCAGTCTGAGTTTATGCGGGTCTTCAATAGGTGGCAAATGGCAGCCAGTGAGTCTCTCTGCACAGCGGCTCATGTGCTGCAGTCTGCAGTCTCCAGGGTGGACAGACGCGTTACCAAACCAAACACTTATAGAAGCTGTGAGGAGGCCCTCAGCAATGGCTCTAGAAAACTGGAGAAGAATGGGCTGGGAAACTGGGATTTTCAGCTGACGGTGTAAATATGCTCTCTGGTGTGCTTCCTTTGCGATGCTGATGACAATACTGTTATTATGAAGTCGTTTAAAGTTTTATTTAATTACTAAGATGCCCTACCGTTTAAGATGTGTGGTCTCTGGACTGATTTCACTCCCGTGCGGTTTGGAAGATGAGTCCTGCGTGAGTCTTAGATTTCACGCGATCCGTTCGGGTTTTGTGTGAAGGTCAACATCCCACATCCGCAGTGAACCCCGTGTGGGAGTGTACACAGTTTAGGACGCTTCTAAACGACCGAAAGCTTTGTTTTTCAGAACAGTGAAGATAACAGGTATCAATCAGCGAAGCGTCACGTTTCACAGGTAAAAAGATCATAATGGCGAGGCGCTGAGCAGAGCTTAGGAGCAAACGAACTGGAGAAAGCGATAAATACATTTCTTGGACAAGAAATGAGGAATTCGGAATCTAAATGATGTCATAAGTAATTGAAGTGGCAATCTGGGGGGAGAGTTACCCTGGTATGGAAGTGAAAATAATAATATGACACAACTGCCCAGAATCGATGGATGTGATGTCTCAGTGGACCAGTGCTGTTGTTTAACACTCTGTAAAAGGAGACCAGCTGGACAACACGCATTCCTGTCTGGAAGAGCTTCCTTTAGAGGCAAACAGCTATAGAGTTACAGTATAAACCAGGGGCGTCCAACCCCTGAGAGCCCCAGTCCAAGACCAGAGTCACCCCAAGTCTTTTTGTTTCTACAGACTGGGAAAACTTGAGTGTTATCAATCAATGAGACAAGCAATTGTTCAATTAAGGGAACACGGGGCTTTGAGTTTCAACCCCTGTGCGAGTTACTGTACTTCACTTAACAATCTCACCTACAGACGAACACAGACATCTTCCCAAGCCCTTGGAGACGGGAGATTTCGTGGTCGCGCTATAGAAACTGTTCTCTGAGAACAGGACCAGAGGAGGCTCCTGGTGTTAAACGACAGCCCTTGTTGTGTTTCACGGGGGCTTCGCTGGCCAAACTGGGAACGACTTCTAGCGGGCAGGATCCTTCCTGGGCCTTGTAGAGCTCCGCGGCACTGCACCGAGGGGTTGAGGCACTTAAACGGCAAGCATGGAGGCTTCTTGATCTCGGTTAGCAATATAAATAGTAATCACCCACAGTCTGTCGAATGGCTGTGTGATGCGTCTAGTGTGCTGGCGAAGTGTCTGTGTGCTTGCCACCTCCCACTTTCAGCCTCCCCGCTGGCTAGCCATGCTGCCCGCAGAGTGCACCAGTCTCTCCTGCCAGTCTGTAGCCTCTGCACATCAAGCCCTCCAGCGCCTCCTCGTGGCGACAGATGGTAACCGGGTACCGCAAGGCCCCCGGCTCGACTGCAAGGGACTCGGAGGTGGTTCGGCCCCCAGACGTGCGGCACGCGTGGCCCACCGGCGTGCGGTTATGCACTAGTGCCCACGACGCAGACCCCCCAGCGATGGCCGAACAGCCTCGCTGCCTTGGCAGAGCCCTGGGAAAGGCCAGGCTAAGGGAGTGAACCCCGACAGAGAACCCGGATGGGAGCCCCGAAGGCGCTCGCTTCGACCACTGGTGATCTCTCCGGGCCCCACTGACGAGGCTGAGAGGGGGACTCTGACGACTGGGCAGCCCGGGGTCTCGCGCCCGCTCCAGCGCCGCCGAATACAGCGACAGAGAGAGAGAGAGAGAGAATCTCCCACGGCGGACCAGTAGCACCACTGATCCCCGTTCTGTTCCCATGAAGCAAAGCTTTCCCGCCAGAGGCCAGAATCGTGCCGAGGTGTGACCGTGAGCACACGCCCTCTCGCCCCCGCCCGCTTCCCCTCTCCGGTGGAGGCGCGGTGTGCACGTGTGCCAGCTGGCAGGGCTGCCCTGCCCGGGAGTGGCATCAGGAACTCCTGGCCTGCCCTGCCCAGAGCGTGGGCGTGGGGGGGCGTGGCAGGCAGGCTGGAGAATAACGGACTGTTCCCTCCTTCCCTGCTGCCACCTCACCCTGCTCTAGGCTCCACGCTGGCCATCCCAACACGTTCAGGCAGTCTGCCTTAATCACACAGCCCTTAACTGCATGTCTTTTTTGTAATCAATGGTACCGTGCAGCAGCAGGGAATCATAAACGGGCCGGTTTTGTGCCGACTGGTAGGTTTGTTATCGGCGCCTGTGCTGCATCTCCAAGTAAATTCTAGGGCCCAGCGTCATCTCTGACCCCTCACCTCACCTCTGGAAGTAAAGAGGTGTAATAGGCCTTGACAATGAGCACCAAAAACAGGAGTTCAATCATATCTCCTCGGCGTGAAATTGTTCAAACGTGGCACACAGTTATGAATAGTTAGGTCAACAAAAGAGGAGTAAGAAATGATATGCACACATCCATCTTGTAGATTTTTTTAAAAAAGGTGTCTTTATTCATCAGATGGAGAAACAAATTCTCCCTGACATTTTTAAAAATAAATAAACATTTCTGAAAGCTCCCCAACCCCCCCTTTAATTTAACGAACAAGTGACAAATGTCACATTACATCATTACAATACACAAGTATTTACAAGAAACAATAGATCACTAACCCCAGTATTTAAACTAAGATTAAAAATTCATATGGGTTTTTCACAATGCCTTTTCTCATCCAATCCCAAAGCAATATAAGGTGTGGAAGCAACGGGGACTTTGGGAATTGAACCACAAACAGTTTATTTTTCCGTTTTTTAGAAATCAGGAGGTTACTTGTGCTAAATATGTTGGAACGACAATGATGCATGAACTGCCTGGCACGTGCCTCAGGTAGCACAAAGCAGACCAGAGTGCAAACTACTGCACAACAGCCAGCGGGGCTCCTCCAGTACCCCTCGATCTCACCTGCGGCACGTTTCTGTGCACACGAGGCCCCTCCGTGCCTTAACCTCACCCCCGTGGCACAACGCAGCCAGTTCACAAGCAGAGGCGGAGTCTGGAATTATAGGGCGCACTTAGCACAGCAGCCTGTTTGTTGCACAAACATCAGCATACTCACATGTTACGGTATTCAAACACAATCCTGAGTGATACTTAGCACCAAAAAAACAACAACTAAATTCCATCGACACACCCGGTTTCAGCTCTGTAACATTCCCAGCTGTGTGTCTGGGGGGGGGTGGTCAAAGGTTTTGACAACAGAATGATTTTTCACCCCCCACCCACCCCCACTCCAGAAGGAGAGAAGGGGTTTTATTTCCTTAAACGTTAAAATAAATAAAAAATGTGTGGAACTCAAAGCCAGAGTTAGAGGTCCTTGGAGTGAAAATTCAGAATAAAAAAATATTCAAAATTGCACAAAAAAAAAACCCAGAATTATTAAAAAAATATTCTTGGTCACCCACTGTTCTTACTTTTAAGGAATTTAAAAGAGCAACAGGGGACACAAGTCAGATCGATTTGGCCATAATGTCTGAACAAAGAGGCACTCTCTCTCTCCGAGTCTGGGAAGAACTGCAGGTGGGGAGGACGGACTGCACAGCAACAGGGAGAAGCCAGCAGTGTACTAGTCCTTGGCCAGCCCGTGGGACTGCCGTTTTCCTCCTCTTCAGTCATCGCAAGCACTTCCCTGGGGATGAGGACAGTCCAGGTACTCAGAGTTCAAACTGAAGGTACTAAAGGTCAATGAAGTCCTGAACAAACTTCTCGTCTTCCAAAGTCTTTGGAGCTCCTACCCATTACCCAGCAGGGGTGGGAAGAGGACAGGAAGTAGACGTCTCCTCTTAAAACGAGGTACCAGAGCCGCAGTGAGCAGTAACCTGTAGAACCAGGTCATGTCACAACGGACGCCAAGTCACATACAGCTTCTGAACAGTCAATTCTCAGAGTCCGATTCAAGGAGGAAGGATCTGGACATGCATTTCACCACCACATACAAAGCAAATACACCCCATACCTCCCCAAAATACTTGAATAAATATTAATAAGTTACAAAACAATGAGCACTACAGCCATAATAATCTGTGGTCACACAGCCATTAACAGATCCGACCGGCCTGTGCATTTTGTAAACAGTTGTAACATTCAGTATCTCTAGTCTGTGATGATTGTAAATACTCCCCACCTCTCCGATTGCAAACCCTGAACAGTGTCCCTTTGGCTGGGATGTCGCTCTGTGGGAGAAGATTCCTGGACACTAGCCAGTGGCTCTGTTGCAAATAAATATGCTTGTCAAAATCCCCCAAAAATAAATAAATAAGGGTGTGATTCGCAGGGGGGGTGGGTGTTTGTGGCAACCGGCGTGAGGACCACAGGATCAGGCACGTCCAGCATACTTCTCCCACTCCGACAGCGCGCGTCCCAGCTCACAGGCTAGACTGGGCGGGCAATTCCGCCCCCTGCAGGTCACTGTACTCCTCCGAGGACTCCATCCAGGGGTGGTGCAGGATCTGCTCCAGGGTTGGCCGATCCTCAGGCCGGAAGGCCAGGCACCAGCGGATCAGGGACTGGCATTCTGTGGGGGAGGGAGAGGAGGAGGTCAGGTCAGAGCAGCGCACCCCAGTCCCTAAGCAATGACCCACAGCACGGGTCACACAACCCCCGACAACCACCACCTACAGCAACAGCAGCTAAAAGACAGGGTGGGGTTGCAAATCACCGAGCAATGCACCCAAGCACCTAAGTGCTGCCTCTAATTTGAGGTCATTTTCATCCAACATCAAACCACATCGCAATCTCTCCCTCAACAGCAGCAGCTCCATCATATGATCAGCTGAACGAAACTGCCGCCGGTCTCATTGTGGACAGAAACGCAAGATGAGGTTCGTTGTTAATGCACCAGGAAAGGTTTAATCACAGGACCGAGGCAGTTTTCGGTTTGGGCAAAAAAGTCGCACATGACCCTGGCCTGAGCCCCAGACCGCAGTGCCAGTCTCACCTTTGGAGAGGCGCCGGGTGAAGTGGGGCTGGGCGTCCACGATCTCGCGGTCGCGCTCGAAGGGGATGTCGCCGCACACCATGTCGAACAGCAGCACGCCCAGGGACCAGACGGTCAGCGGCCGCGCGTGGTAGCGCTGGTGCAGGACCCACTCCGGGGGGCTGTACACCCGAGTGCCTGGGGGGGGACGGGACACTGGGGTCACACCTCGGATCGACCCGCCGCGTGTGGGTGCGCGGAGGAGCCGGGGGGGCCGCGCCGGCGCTCACCTTCGAAGTCGGTGTAGAGCGCGTCCTTGAGCAGCGCCCCCGAGCCGAAGTCGATGAGCTTGACGTCGCCGGTGCGCGTGTCCACCAGCACGTTCTCGTCCTTCACGTCGCGGTGCACCACGCCCCGCGCGTGACAGAACCGCAGCGCCTCCACGATCTGCCGCAGGAACCTGCCGGAACAAGCGCAGGGTCACGCGAGGAACCACCGGGGGCGACTCTCCCCTCCCCGCGCGCGAGGGTCGACCGGGGGGCACGTACCTCTGCGCCAGAGGCTCCTCCAGGGCCCCCCGCTCCGTGATGAAGTCGAACAGGTCCTGGCAGGGCTGGGGTCTCTCGAACACGATGAGGAAGCCCTGCCCCGGCTTCTCGAACCAGTCCAGCATCCTGATCACGCCCCGGTGGGCCGGGCCGGAGCCGGCACTGCCCCCCAGCCGCAGCAGCAGGGCGATCTCCATGGGAACGAGGTGGGGCTCGTTGGGCTGTGGAGCAGAGCGCTGCTGGTTAGTGACCAGGCTCTTGTCTGAAAACCGGGCGAGATCAGGTGCCAGCAAGCAGGCTTGTCCTTCTAAAGAGGCTAGGGTTACCTTTCCTTAGGCTTCTAGACTAGCTGTCATTTATCATAGGCTAAATCATAGATTAATTAAAATGACCTGACTTGAGTAAGACCAGGGTATTGGAAGAAGGACAAATGATATTTTAATCATTTCTACAAAATTGAGACGTAATTGATCGAGCGTAGTATTAGGTGACTGAGGAATGTTGCAGCTGTACTCCAGACCATGCCTTCACCTGATCCAACTACTGACGTTGGCAAGCAGGATTCAGAAAGGTAACAATCAGCGGCTTTAGCCCGAGAAGCCCCATTGATCTTCAAAACAAGGTCTGACGCGTTGTTTTGAGAGTCTGTCCGCTCGTAGGAGTGCCTGTGGGGGCGGGGGGGGATTCCGTCTCACTTCTCGCACACGCGGAGTTTCCACATGGCTTTGTTTTGTTATCGGACACCCCCGGCGCGTCACTGTGACGTCACTGCCGAGAAGGCTGCCGCTCGGAAGTTTCCAGCAGGGGGAGTCCGGCGACGGGACTTCCTCCCGACTCCCAGAAAACTACGTCAGCGGCCAGGTACTCCCGAGCCGGGCCCGGACCAGTCCGCCCGAACCCGTTCTGCAGACGTTTAGGACTCAAGCTAAAACGTGCCACCTTGCGCTTTTCGACTGCCAACGACTTAGTTAGCTGCGGTTTGGCGGCAGTCTAACACCGTACCTCAGCACAGGTAAATCTTCTCTTAAAAAAAATAAGGAAAACAAAACGTTTTCCAATAACAAGAACAAAGAAACGCCTCCCTCTGCTCGCTCTCGACCTGTTCTAGATTTCCATTCATGTTTCATTCAGGCTATAGGAATTGCGAAAGCCTACACAAACGAAGTTGCAGGACCCGCCTACGAATACTAGTAAGGCGCTTCATCCGAAACCTCGCAATTGAAGGGAACAGGTTTAGTTTCGACGCCCCAGGCGGCCAGCAAACATTCCCGGTATGGGGGAGCTAAAAGGATTAGCCTGCTCATCAACGGCTGAAAAAGCAGTGTTAAGCATCTTAAATGTCCTTACCAGCCGGGCCCACTGCTGAACTCTGTCACTTGAAATCTGTTTTATGGCCACCTAGAGAAGGAAAACAGGAATTTAGTCATGCAGAAAGCTTGATCGATAGAAAATGCAAGCTGCAAAGCAGACACCATTGAATGAGCATTGTACTGCAGCCCGAACAAAGTTGACTCGACTTCTCAATCTCTCCAAACTACGAGATTATATTTACTACAAAAGAGGCACCGAGCATCTGCAATTACAAGTTCACGAACCTCAGTGCCAAAGAAAACAGCTGTTTGCTGCCCCATCCCAGCTCCAACTTCCCCCATTTACATATGCAAAGCCCGCTGCGCACACTGCGCCAACAGCTGAGCCGTCGAAGTAAGAACGCGCGGCTTGTGCAGCTCAGCAGAAAGTGGACTCACCTGCAGCCCGTCCGAAAGGCGCTGTCCCGCGAAGACGGAACCGAACCCGCCGCTTCCCAGCAGCGGGCCGACCTGATAGAGCTTTTCAAAGGGCTCCTTCGGTGCAACTGGAGAGCAGAGCAGAACTCAGGTCAACCCAGTACACACAAGTCACCCCAGATACAAAAGCCCACTAAATCTTCTTCGGAAGCACGGTGATAGCGACACCCCCAAACTATTTTCGGCTTTCACACGAGTGTGCCTCCCGAGCAGCTTAGCCAGGCTCTCTGGCAGGAGTAATGTTATGACCGCCAGAAGCAGCTGTCGTTGCGTTTTACTGCGGGTGAAGGGTGAAGGTCCAAACGTTACTACGCACACGTTAAGAAAAATCGAAGAGACGCACAAGGTATTCTCTTCTATGCAAATACCTAATTTTATAAACCTATTGCGAAAACGTGCAACAAGGTTGTTGTTGTTGTTGACATTTTCACATAAAGCCCCGCAGCTAATAGCATTAAAACTGACTTTCATATCTTAAAAAAAGCGTCAGGCGGCGATACAAGCTGCATCCCATACCTTGTTTTGCTGTGAGTTCATCACCCTTGTGGACGAAGATCTCTTCGATGCATTTATCCAGCATTTTGGAAATTCTCCGAGAGCGAGACGCAGCGGGTGATTATTTAATACCGTCCCAGTGGAAACACCCAGGGCTTGCTTTCCAGTTCAAGGGCAGTGGTCCGTAATCTAGACACACACGCAAATCCTGATAATGGAAGAGAGGGTATATCCAGTGAAAGGTATATTCCACCGCCAGAGAACTCCCAGCTGTGAGCAGAAAGAAGTTCAAATCGCTGGCCGCCAAGCAAACACACACCAAGCAGCTCCAACCTCCTCAGACCTGAAATGACTCCTCGGCTCGTGTTGCTGTTTTTTTTTACTAAGTTTACATTTGTCGCCACGCCCCTACCGCGCCGTCCCTCCAATCACCGCCGCCTTCCGGGGGGGCTTTTGAATAGCCAGCCAATCGGAGGCGAGCGTGATTTGAATATTTGAATATTCATGAAAGAGCCGAACAGGTACCCCGAAGAGACGTTCTGAGAACCCAACCGTCCAGCTCGAGTTCCGGTAAGCGACCGCCGTGCGGTTTTGATAAAAATGATTATGCTTTTTTTTTCCCTCCCCTTCCACGTTTGCTTCCTTGTAAAACCCCTCAGTTTAGCTCTACTTTTTCTAACGTGCCATCAAATATTTGTTTTACGTTTTTGCACTGAAGCTGAAAAGTTTTTGCAAAAGCCTTGTTACAATATCCTTTTCCCCATTTATTGCATTAATTTATCCGTTTGTAAGACGGGGGGTGTAGCCGCCTGTTGCTTTTCATTTTAAGGGGTAATTAGGACTCAGTGCACGCACAGCACATTTTAACGAATGCCATTTTCAGAATGTTTATGCCTAAAAAGGGCACAAGAACCGAGTCGTTTGCTTTTCCCCCCCAATATGCAGCCTGGAATTAAGCCGTTTGTCTCTCTGCAGCCCCCTCCAAGCTTTCCAGCTTTTAAATACACATTCTCTATCCTGAGCTGCCTCCGGTTACCTACAGTTCACGTAACATTTCTTTTATCAGACTGGCAACCAAAGGTGACGTTTCTTTAAAGTGAAATAAACCATCAACAAAAAGGATGGTTTATCATTTTTCATCCAGTGGTTCATCCAGCTCACATCAACAAAATGAAACATCAACTTTGTCTTCCCCAACCCATAAACGTCAATCCACCCCCTGCTCCCAGCCTGTTGAACGATCATGTTTCTGGCTGTTAGCGTTGTTGTCTTTATTGGTTAATAAGGCACGTCAGGCTACTAGAGAGTGAAACAGCTGGTCTCGTTTCAAAACCGGTTTCCCGCCACAGAGGCGGGGAAAGGGTTAACACAAGATTTGCACCTGCTTGAATGTCGAGATAAAAACGACTCAAGGACCCCGAGCTAAGTTTACCACTAAACACCAAGTTTTAAACTTCAAGTCTCCTGCTAACACGTCAGAGTAAAAGGCACTGTTGTTGCTTCTCCAAGTAGTATTTTTACAATTAACTCTGCTGGGCAGAAGATAAAGAAGAACGTTTTATTAAATGTGAACAAAATAATGCACGTATGGCTTTAACACTGCGACATTTTCCAATTGCTATTAATGATAATATGTGGAATTATCTTCAAATATTACCTCACTTCCAACGCGAAAGTAAAGTAGATTGTATGGATCAAAATACTCTATTAATAAAAAGAAAATTCAGGTTACAAATAAATCTTTGAGAAACACCTATACTGGGAGTTAAGTGTGGAAAATATCCTAAAGGAAAATAGATTAGTCTTGTGCGACGAGGGCAACACTTGAGCGCGCCTGCGTGCAGCGCCTCCTAGTGGTTGCTGTAGGTGGAGGTCGGCCTGCAACTCGGATTAACCGCTTCAGCGAGCTCTCCGGGCAGAAACAATAGCGGATCATAAGAAAAACAACATGAGTCAAAATGAAACTCTTTCATATCTATACTGAGATTAAAATCGCCGATTTGATTTCCCAGGCCCCCGAGTCAGCGCTGCAGCGTGCGGGGCCGTCCCTTCCTGCAGAGAGGGCCAGGCTGACGAAGACGGCCCAGGTCTCGGGATCAGTCAGCGCCTGGCCTGCTGTTCTCGTTTCTGGCTGAGTCTAAGATCTGCAGAAAACCACAGCCAGCAATGCTGACTTACAGTTACATAATGGGCGGGGCAGGGGAGTGTCAGGGGGGTGGAGGGAGGGTCAGGGGAGTGTCAAGGAAAAGCGATCCAAAGGCTGAGGAGCACCGACGAGACTGGTGCCTGCTGTGGCCCGGAGCGAGTGGCAGGGCGTCTTGGATGCCTCAACACGATCAGCTGAGGGAAGAACAAACACAACACGACGTGAAGAGAGGTTTCTGTTGCCCTGGAAACACAAACCCAGCTCTTCCTTGACATTACCCCATTAACACAATGACGTCAGTTAAATCTAAACCCAAAGAACCACAAATGAAGAGCATTACAGCACCCAGGTGGGCTTGCGCATCATGCACACATTGAAGTCACATACCTGGGCTGGGCCGGGAGACTCCATTCAGCTTCGAGAACAGGGCGGCCCAGAAGTACTTCTGATGAGGTGCAGAGATGTTGTTGTAGGCGAATACACTATGAACTGGGAGCATGTCCTGTCCTGCTTTATAGAAGTTGCATGCATTCACAAAAAAAAAAATCCAATTGTGTTACCTCTCACCCAGTAACGTTGAGGCAGAAGGATATGCTGAACACAAAATGTTAAGGAAATCCTGTGGTTTTGTGGTTAACAAAATGAAGTACTACTTCTAGCAGTTGATGGAGGGCTCTGGGCTCAGCCACCTGTGTGCCCCAGCTGACACCTCCCCAATCACACACATTCCTGGGTTTCCAAAGCCTGGAACAAGGGAACACGTCACCCCTAACACGGGCTTTGCAGCCTTGCCTACCTGTCCAGTTCAGAGATGCCCTCAGATTTCACTCTCCCAACAAGAAGGACTTTTCAAATGTTATCGCACCTGGGTCTCAGAGGAACTGATTAACTTTGAAAGCTCATAGCCATATTTCTAATATACCAGGAAGCCACTATGGTGCAGTCTCAGAGGGCTAAGATTGGAAGCTTCCAAGATGTGGAAAAATTCTCCTCTTGGCAAAGAACACAGGCAGGTTGTAATTCAAGGGTGTTCAGTCCTTTTCCTGGTGGGGCCAGTGTGTCAGCTCGGCTCTTAACCTACATCAACTGATGGTCGTCTAGTTCAGACAATTTACTAGCTTCTTCCAGCCCTTCCCTTGCCCATTCTTTACACTCAGACAACTTCTTGACCCACCAGCCCTCTAACTGCTTGTGAAACAAAATTGTAAACCATTTTTTCCCCCTTCGTTTCTGTAGTCTGGCTGTTGTTTTTCCAAGTGTTGAGAGGTTGGAGACTCTCGAAGGACTACAGAGATTACAGCATGGAGCAGCAAGACGGCAACTCCAGGGCAGGGTTCGTGCTGGACTTTACAAAACATCTGACCTCTGACCTCTGCGTCTGGAGCAGTGGTTCCCAATCCTGGTGACCCACACAGCTGCTGGGTTTCATTCCAGCCCACGCTCATTAGATGATCCAAGCCTTACTTGATCTTAACTTAATTCACTTCAATGGAATCTTTGCCTTTTGTTTCTAGTCAGAAGTTTTTATTTCACTTACAAAACACAATGGTTAAAGGTCCAACATGCTTAAGAGCTGGGAACAAACCGTTCACATCCATCTCAATTTTATTAAGTCAACGAGGGGTTTGCTGGCGTGACTGAGGGTTCGGCTGGAATGAACACCAACAGGTGTGTGTGTCACCAGGACCAGGATTGGGAGCCATTGCTCTAGAGGCTATGTGACTAACGCAAGAGGGAACTCTACATGGGAAGGGGGCATTCGACAGTCCTGTTAAGCCACCTGAAAACCCCATAACCCTGTGCGGCCATCAGTAAATAATGATACGTTTTATTCATACAGGTTTTCTTTTCTTTTTTATTCCAAGAAAAAAACAAGTGTATTTTTTCATCCCAAAAAAGAGAAAATAAAACAAAAATTATATTAATCATTAAGAAGATAAGTATGACATTATTACAATTTTCTTTTTTTTTTTCCTCCTTGATGTCTGTTTATTTAAACATGCACCTAAATAAGTCCGATGGTGTCTAGGCATTAGAAAGGGCCGGGGGCTGGGTTCGATAATGTGGAGGCGTGTGGGGGGACGGGGGCGGGGAAGCGAAGACCAGGAGACGATCGAGATGGGCGACTTCGTTCCTGCTGCAGCTGCGGAGGCCTCGATTATCAACTGCTGTCCGGGGAGGGCTCTCTGTGCATGCTGTTCTTCTTCATGCTGTCGAGGTACTCTTGTTGCGACACGGCCAAAACCGAGGCCAAGATCTCGTCGTCCTCCCAGTCCGTTAGTCCTGAGGGCGGGAGAAGAGATGAAGGCGGACGCCACTACTCGGCGCGTACTCTTTAAAACTGAGACACCGGGACAGCATTTTATTTATTTTTTAAATCGGAGCAGAACATTGCCATTAACCTCTCGTAGCGCTGCAGGTTAGGAAGTTCCTTGCTCAAGCTCCCATTTAAATTCATGAGGGTCAAAATAAAAGAAAAGGTTTTCTAGTGAATCCACGCACTTTCATGCTCATCGCACAATTGAGTGATGGTGTAAGTACTACATACTTAATCGTGTCTTTTTAATTTCCAAAGTGACAATGGAGGACCCAACAGCTCTGAGGAAAGTGTGGAATGTGTTCACTCATCCTGCTTCTAAACCTGCGAGGTAGACCCCTGCCCAGTGTCCACGCCCCAGTGCCAGCCCGGGCCGGTCCTCTCCTTACCGAAGGCGGTGGGTGACATTTCCTGCATGATGGCCCGGTATTCCAGGGCGGGGTAGAGGGACACGAGGGGCGATGGGGTGGCCCGGTCCGCCCCCACGCACGACTGGCTGCTGGGACCTGGGAGGCAGGGGGAGGAGACAAGGACAAGGTCAGTAGGGGGCAGGACACGGCCGAGCCCAGGTCTAGGAGGAAAGAGAGACGGGTTGTGCCGAACCTAGATCTTTAAGGAAGACAACAGCACAGGCACACAGTCACTGTTTTTTATTTAAAAAAAAAACAGTTTTATTATGCAAAGGAACAAGTAATAGGTTTATTCCATCCCGAAAAGAGAAGAAAGAAAACACGTTTCGGCTGTGGAGCCTTCTTCGGGCACCCGCCTGCACAGTTTTATTATGCCCGATAAGAAGTGGGAGACCCTGACTTCCAATGTGGGGCACCAGACTGGAACATTGAACAGGTCGGCCTGCACCTTACACAGGCCCTGCCCTTCTGGAAAGTTTCCCCACTATATGTGGACGAAAACTGCGCAGACTGTCGAGACACTGGGCATGGCAACACACAACGTGGCACGAGAGGTCCTTCTGGCTCATGGTGCTTTTGTCCGCACTCTTGTAGAACTCCCAGATTTATTGAAGACCAAATGCACAGCTCTCTTCAGGGCTGGGGTTGGAATTCCTATTTCTACGACGTCCCACTGAGGCGCAGGGCCACGGAGGGGCTGACAGGAGGGGCTGACCTGGCGCGCAGGGCGAGGGGGGCTTGGGCAGCATGAGGGCGGCGCCCGCGGGGGAGGGGGGCTTGGCCGCGGCGTCGGGGTGGGGGTCGGGGTGCTCCGGCGAGGGCGCGGAGCTGCGCTGCCGGGGGGAGCGCCCGCTCCACTCCTCCAGCCCGCTGGACGCCGCCGCGGTCGCCGAGCTGCAGGTGGCGCTGGCCTTCCGGGGCTGCAAGAGGAGAGACGGACAGGACAGAGAGTGAGGGGGGGGGTTGAGGCTCCATCAGAAGCATGCCCCCCCCCCCCCTCGCGCTCCACGGTTTCACCTTAAGGCCGCTGTGCGCTCAGGCTGAAATAAGGGATGACTGAAATGCCTATCCCTTGAGTAACTCTGCTGCAGGGCAGACTGCATTTACGAGAAACCCTCTGCTTAAGATAAAGACATCTGAGCACTTTCGCACACGAGGCCTGAGTTTCAAGGTGTCGCCACCACTGTTCTGTAGCTACGCAGACTCATTTCCAAAATCACAGGGCTGGCGTGACCAAGAGGCTTCACAACCCTTGAGTTGCACTACATCTTCAAAAGATCACACCTTCTCAACCTGATTAGCACGTTTTCACAACAGCGGCTCAAGGTGTGAAGGAGGAGGGGGAAAGCTTTTTGCAATGCAAGTTATCAAAAATAAAAACAGGAAAAACATAATATTATACAACAGAATCCTGCCATATCAAACCCTTCCCATGTCTGTCTTTTAATTTTTCAAATCTTACCCACCATAAAATTCAAGGACGATACTTTCTTGCACAAAGTAAATGCCGTAATATCTAAAACAAGCTGACGGGTGTTTATGGTTTTGCACTTAACGTGCTGTCACATTACAAACGAGAAAACCCTTGAAGATTCTTTAATTTCACTAGTGCATTATAAAAATCACATGCACTGAAAGCTCTTCCTCAATACTTTTCCAGGCTCCCTGCCTGCTCTGATTGGACATGTGGGCCTACAATAAATCCACACTGTTGCTCACAGTCCTTTAAAATGAATTCAGATCAGCTCCTATAGAGCTCATTTTGAACTCAGTATTTACGGGAAAGCCTGGTGTTTCACTGAAGACTGTCTGAAAATAATGGTGGTCAAGGTGGCGGTGTGGGGGGTACGAGCTGGTTTAGTACAACCTTCCGTCTCAATCGTCGAGAGGATCCTGTGAGATCGCACCTGCGGCTTCATGCTATTCTTAGGTTTTTCTTTTTCACCTTCTTTGAATCAACTGGTTTCTCGTAAACACAAGGGCCGCTGTACTTACAGAGAGTAGGTTTAAACAGACACCTTTTGAGACATACCAAACAATACAATTTTTGGCGAAAACTGAACAGGATTACAGGGTTCTTTTAAACTCGCTTTGTAACCATCAAGTTGTTGGAAGACTATCCAAAGACAGCATGAGCAACTAAGTCATACACACATTTAATATTAGCACATCATCCACTGGACAAGGTAACACCCTAACTAAATCTGCCTATACTCGAAGAAATGTTATTTTAACATTAAATACCTAAACCTCACCTGATTCTGCCGTCAGGTAAACTGCTGTGGGTAAAATCCTCGGTCAGTAGAGGAACATGATAGCTTTCTCCAGTACTTCCCAGTGAACCACAGTGACTGACAAGAGAAAGTCTTTTGGCAGACAGGTGCTCTACATGTCGAGAAACTATACTTGCACCTAGAGATGCTTCTTGGACTTCTAGTGGATCACTGAATGGATTGCAACCAAAGTCCTAACTTCACTAACTACAACTGTGTGGAAAATATGCACTATGTATTAGCATAAAGTAGCCTTTAACAGAATTGTTAATCAAATGCAAGTCTTTTTCTTGCTAATTCTTGCTTCCTTCTCATCCTGCTGTAAATGAAATGTTCAGCTTTTGAAAAGAACGTGACAGTGGTGGACAATGCTGGGGAGCGCCTCTGTCTAAAGGAGATAAAAGAATTTTGCTGTGCTTTCAGGATTGTAAGAGTGATCATTTGTAAGAGTTCACAGAGCACTGGCACTGTGATACCTTGCTAATGAGAAGAGCAAAGTAGTTTGCATTTCTAACACTTAAAGGTTCTTTAAATAAATAAAGTTCATGCCTCCTTGCCTGCTCTAATTGGGCATGTGGACCTACAATAAATCCACACTGTTGCTCACTACCCTTTAAAATGAATTCAGATCAGCTCCTGTAGAGCTCATTATGAACTGTGTATTTACGGGAAAGCCTGGTGTTTCACCGAAAACTTTCTGTGAAAAACGGTGGTCAAGGTGACAGTGTGGGGCTACAAGCTGCAACCTTCCGTCTCGAGCATCGAGGGAATCCTGTTTTCGTAGCTTCCCTGAATCAATCAAGTTCTCATACATTAAAAACAAAACAAAGATATTACACAGAACGGATTTAAAGAGCACAAAGGATACAATCCATTGCAACTATTTCCCAAGGTTACAAGGTTCATTTAAGCAACTCGTGCAATGTAGCAAGATGCCTTAATAGCATCATGGTAAGAAACTTCATGAGTTACGTCATGTGAGTGTCAGAGACACTTTCATCCTGGTCTAATCGTGGTTTCTCTATTTGTAATGTCTAAAAGTGAGTCATTAAATTATCAATGCAAACTAGAAGAACACTTCTAGCATTATTCATGCACTGGCTATCCCTCAGGAGGCCAGGGTGTGTGTCTTCCATGAACCCTAAAGTGAAAGATAAGACCAATGTGCTTTTCCCTTTTCTTTGACTTAAGTCTCCCCTGATTTTAGAACTCAAAGGTAAGTTGGTCCTTGGGTACTCTGGTCATAAACAGTCCCTTTGAGACTGAAGACACCATTGCTATAATTTGTCTTTAACATTTTGTCCTTCCTTGGCCTGGTATGTCCATTGGCCACTCCTGTGTATGTCCACATCACAAGCTGTTCTTTGGACTATTTTCTTTGCTTGCTGAAGAATAGCTGCATCTGCTTGGAATATCATGCCCTGCAAAGGAAGCCTTGGGCTGCTAATCAATAAGCTCATTGATCATTGGTCATTTTTATCAGACCACTTCTGATGTTCCTTTGTTTGATATCCAAAGTACTTTTTGCAAGCATGTTGTGATTTTTCTCTTGAGATCAGGGTCCCAAAAGTAGTAACAAGTTTCATGAAAAAGATCTCTTTTGACAGGATCCTTCAGTGTATCAGTGTTCAGTCCAGCAACCATGAGCTCCAGTCATTACCCTAATTCTACTAAAACCAGAAAGGATCAAAGCTAAAAGGGCAGTTACAATGCAAGATATTTTCTTTATTACCTTTATTGTTCTTTGGGTTTTAGAAGAGGAGACTTGAAAACCAAGATACACCCACATAAGCATTCATATGAACAGTCAGCGGATTAGACAATTAGGATGAGACGATTTTGACATCGGTAACACCAGAACAAAATAAATATTCTACTTGTGAAAGTTTACGGGCTGCCTGTCACCTAAAATCAGTTGGACCACCTGGGTTTAAATTTGGATTTGGTCCCATTTGCTAGGACACGGTCTTGTTTGTGCAAGACGGCCTACTTCTCACTGCGGACTACTGAGCAGCAGACAGCTTTGGTGCCGATGCTACTAGCTCGTGCAGTCACACAGAGGGGGGAAAAGCTAGATGATTCCCCAGGCTCACATTAGCCGTCATCAATCACTCGACCATATTGTACTGCTGACACCAGTGGGTACAAAACGGGATTCTTCAGTTCCAGTCCTGGAGCAACAGGAAAGTCTTTTCACTTAAATGAGACCATTTTCCTCCCCCCTGAACCCCTAAAAAAAAAAGATTCAAAGAGACTCCCCCAAAAAAATAAAAGCATACTAGACATCAGCTGGGGTTTGAGAAATCCTGGTTAGAGCACATGATCTCTGCACGCATGTCAGCAGATCGTAAGCCATGCCGGCACCCCTGTGCCTTCTCACCTGCCGTGCCTGCTTCTCCTGGTCTTGCAGCCACTGCAGGTAGGACTCGCGGGCCACCTGCTCCTCGATGGCCTCGTTGGTGGCCTCCCAGTCAGTGGCCCTCTTCTTGTCCTCCAGCATCTGCTGCTCAATCCACGACTCCTCGGACGTCTTGATGGCGTTCTTCATGAGGGACTGGTCTGCGTACTGCTGGGAAAGAGAAGGGGGAGGCGTCAGGTTGCAGTGGCCGGAGCGGTTTCCGGAGGTTATTGGCGGAACGGGGCTCACGGGAGGTCCCCTCGAAATCCAGGTGCTACGTTTGGAGGAGCCAGATCTCGGAGCCCTCTGTCTCCACGGCAATCGGCCGTGTTTACACAAAGTCAAACGCCTCCCGGTGCCGTGAGAACATGTTTAGGAAGGCAGTCTGTACCACCTGTCCCCATTTAACAGGTAATTATCTCATCAACTCCAGGTTACTTACACCCTGCCCTGCCCACAGTCAGGCAGTCCATCATTGGGCTTCCTATTGATATAGGCAAGTTCTCTTGGCCCTAACCAGCCCAAAAGAAAGAGCAGAAATCTGTCTGATTCAGTTTGACTACATGATCCCAACTTGAAAACAGGAACTGCAGGGCCAGCCGGATCCCCGTCAGCCCCGTTCTTACCACAACACCTTAGCAACCGATCGGACCTGCAGGACCGAGCAGCAGCCCTGTTTATCAGGTTGGCTCTCAGCACAGCTTCCCTGTCCTGCTCTGTTGTGCTGTGCTGTACCGTCCCGGACTTATTCAGTCCGGCTGCACAGCGCATACCTGCTTGGTCTGTCCTCCTCCTACCTGCACAACACATACCTGCTTGGTCTGTCCTCCTCCTACCTGCACAGCGCATACCTGCGTTGTCTGTCCTCCTCCTACCTGTACAACAAATCCCTGTTTTGTTTGTCTTCCATCCGACTGCACAGCGCATCCCTAGCTCTCCCCTCTCCACTTAGCTTCACTGGGATCCAGCTAGTCCACTCTGCAGCCTGACATACAGACAGCTCTGCGCTATAACTTGATGTGGCAGAATCATCTGCTGTTTCGGGAGCCCGTGAGCAACCAGGATCGAATCCCAGCTGGGACAGGGAGAGGTGCATGCATGCATGCATCACATTTGTAGGCTCGGTGTGACACATCGTGTTTCCAGGGAGTGCAGTTCTTAATTAAGGAAATACTCTCAAAATACTGTGAAAGCACAGAGAATCATTCCGAGAATCACAAATGTCATGGTTCCAAAACTTTAGGCTTTACCCTTATTAATACAGGATATACACATTTTGGTATTATCAGTTTCAGAACACAAAATAGTAAAAAAAAACCTCCCTCGTTCTTCCCAATGTATCTACATCAGACTAATAATGTCCAATCTGGCAGGTGTTTATTGGTAGGGAAACTAAAAATCTAGAACATAACATCAGTGCCATCTTTCACTATCCCTAACAATTAAGAACAACAAAGCCCACCTGTGGTGAACAACTCTAGACAACAGACTTCCAAGCAGCAGAAAAGCTGGGAAAACTGTGATCTCTCTCTGCTGGGCAACAGGGGCTTGGAAGATCTTCCCTAGCTGCTTCGCTTTAGCAGGATGCAGCTAGTGTGCAAGCAATTTCGCACGCCTGTAACACGATCCGCCACAGATGAGGCGGAGAGGAGAGACGAGCTCACAGTAACAAGCCTGCGCAAGAGGGGCCAACCTGCACGTAAACAGCAGAGTTTGGACCCCCCCCCTCCTCCCCCAGCCGTTCAAATCACAAATCGCCAAGCTCTAGGGAGCTCTCGGCCGCTGCGATCTGTTCCCATGGCAGGAACTTCTCTGCCTGGCGGCAGGAACATGTGCTTCTCCTTAGGGTGGCAAGAAATCTGACTCCGGGGGTGACAAGCCGGCCGCAGTGAGAAAATCTACAAAAAAACACAATGCCCAAAGGAAGCCAAAAATCACTCCTGCCACTGTGATGTCATTTAATACAAAAATGACATCAGCTGCAAAACTGCTTCTGACTGGGCTTCCCTCGAGCGGCACTGCTGGAGTGTTGTCTGGCGGGCGGCCAGTAGGGCAGGGCTGCGTGACCACGATGGCAGCGTGCTCTGCAGCGGAGACCCGGGCCGAACGCATGTGCGGTCCTGGGTCCACACACTGCCCTCACCTGCGGCACAGGCTGCCGCAGTGCTGGCCAGCCCAGGCCACTCGCGGCCTCCCATTTCTTTACGATCTGGCCGACAGCTTACATTTCTACTGATTCAGACAGCTGGGCATTTCTCTCAAAGGGGGCAACAGCAGTGCCCCACCTGGAAGTCGAACCTACAACCTTGTCATTCTGAGATCAGAGTCCCGACCGCTCACTCCACCACACGGCTGCTCTAAACCCTGAATGTTCCACGTATCTGGTGACCGAGAAGTCAATCTCATTACTTTCTTACAGTTAGTCACATAGAATCAGCAGCTGATCCTTCGAAATACTCACTTCATTAAAGGTGCAACTTGTAAAATGGTTTGGAGCCTGGGTAGAAGTGTGTATTCCTGGGTCAGTGAACCGTGCTGCACGGACCCCGGACACTACAGCACGAAACTTTGCAGTGCACTTTGTGTCCCATATGCTATGTGTTGGTGTTGTTATATCAGAGAGAGGAGAGCTGGACCTTGCTACTCAGTTATGGCAGATACAATAGTACAGTCCCTACATCTTCCCATTTAATTCATAATTCATTGACTATACTGCAAGAGCAGTAGGTTTATGAACCTTAACCTCCTGCCAAAAAATAAAAGTCAAGTCATAAAGTCCTTCACTCTCTCATCAAAAAAAAAAAGAAGGACTGAAGCAAACTGAAGCAGCTGTGAACACATTCAAATTAAATCAAGATGCTACATGAAGGAGGTGACTGGAGAGAGATCCTCCTGCTACAGGCTGTGCTGCAGTCTGACTGCGCACGACAGTTTGGTGGTGAGGTCTGCTGACCCGAGAATACTCAGAATTTGCCGATAGTATCAGGAATTGCACTACGCAGGCAGAAGTAGTACTAAAACTGTAGAAGCTGAACCAGTGTTTTGCATATCATACGCCTGCTGTGCTGGAAAAGCTCACTTTGGCGTTTACACTGTGCTTCTTGTAACACTGGGGAGAAAGCGAGCAGCTCTGAGCCCAGACACACTCAAGACTGTACAAGTGTCAAAAAGGCCCTTCCCTGGCAAATATGTTCCAGGCATGAAAGTCAAACTTAAAAACCCCCTGAAGTAACCTAGAACACCTAGAACGTTTTCTTCTAAGAAAAATTATTAAAACCCTAGCATGAATATTTGCCACGTTTTAGCTTTTGTAGGGATTAGTAACTCCAGGGTGAAAAAGGTGGTCTTTTATGAACGCGTACGAACAGGATGCAAGATTCAGAATTATTACCGCGCGCGGCTATGGCCCACCGCCTGCCGAGGCTGCTTCTCTTTCAGAAACACAAAATTACGCAACGAGACCTCTGTCGAGCTGCTCGTTTAATTTGTCCCCAATCTGCCGGTTCTTCACCGACATCCCTATAGCACACTGGTAACTCTGCCAAATTCCAATATCGTCCTGCGGTTTTCAAACCGGGTGCCCAGGATTTGTCCGGGACCATGATATGCTATCTGCTGAAGGCGCGGGAACATTCTTCCCAGCGCCCTCTGGGACATTTCCTTCCTCAGCTCTCGAGCGAAGGCGAAGGATAATGGGATGGAGCCTGAGCCCTGGGTGGTGGTGGGGTGGAAAACACTTCCTCGAAAACATGCCCCGTCCTTCTGGGCCGTGAGCTACGTGCGCTGGGCGCACTGCTCCCCCGACGCTTTCCCGGGACATCACGTAGGCACAGTAATTGCAGGTCTCATCTGAGAAGCAATGGAATGGCAACGCTGAACGCAAACAGCTGTAACAAAGAGCTCGATAGGCTGCAGCCCCTGGGGTAGCACTGTACTGTTAACCAGTCTTGACTGAAGAAGAGGGAGGGTCAGTAAGTTTGTGTGTGTGGCGGGGGGCAGGGGGGCTGGAAGTCAGGAGACAGATAAAATTGCAGTTTGAACCCTGCTGACCTACTGTTGACTTATTTTGACCAAACAAAACCTAATTCTTCTTGACTCACATCCAGCATAACTGAACAAAATAGGGCTTTTGCAGTGTTTGTCATCAAGTATCCAACGAGCTATGCAAAATCTAACTGCAGAAAATGGAAGCATTTCATTTGATTTTGAGTAAGAGTTCAGTGGGTTGTTTTTCACTCGGAAAAAGGGGACTAAGATTTACTTCCCCATGCTTTCTTTTAAAAGGCACGCCCGACCCGGCTAATCCCTTCATAATTCATATGAAAGAAAACTGCAGAATAGTCCTGAAGTCCAGGCACTAACTACACTGCCTCTTACCAAAATCGGCACAGGTCAGAATGAGTCCTGTAATGGGCATACGCACGTTTCCCATGTGACAGCCCCTGGGATGTAGATGGTACGGTTTGCCGATTTAGAAGCTCTCCGAGTCTGATCACTAGGCACAGCTTTGACACAAACAAGACAGTGTGGTGCCGTATGGTCCCTCAGAGGAGCCTGTCCTGCCACTCCACAGTGTGGAATGTGGCTCTTCACTGAGTTCAATCTCCAGCTCTTTGATGTCTGTGTGCTCGAGAAAAAAGAACAATCCTGTACAAGCTTTCTTTGTTTTAGCAGCCCTGATTATCTAAAGAGTCACACCCTGCTGCTACTTTGTGGCTCCTTGCTTCTTTGTAAACATCGGCCACACTCCTGCACCCCTTCCCCAGGGGCTGAGTCACAGCCCTGTCCAGATCTGCACAATAGGAATAACCAATCTAGTTTTAAAAATGCCCTTTAGTTTCTGGGATGCAGCCCTGTGAACAATGGAGGCGACACAAAATTCAAATCACCCTTGGGCATCGCTCTCACAGCAGCCTTAAACCTCTCATGCAACCCTGAGTGTTTGTGTGCGTACGCACCCAATCGATGACATGTGAGTGCATGACAAACAAAGTAACACACCAGCTGGCTCGTGACTCCTAAAAATAAAATGGGACTTAACACGACAATACGACAGAAACAGGCTGAAAGGCCACGTCGGTTTGTTTTTGACCTTCTGTTATCCCGCAGATGGTGGACAAACATATTGTGAGTCAGATCAAACATCCAGAGAGACACACCGATAGAAGGCAGAGCTGAAAAGCTTTGCCTTGGTTTTTGCACTTTACCGTACGGGCAGTGTGAGCTCAGGTGGGTTTCCACTGCGGACAGCATACCCCCACTCTCCAGCTCTTAGAGCCTCGGGGCTCTGCATCTGGAATCGGCAGTTCAGACTGTGTGAGAGCCCCCTTCCAGTGACCCAGAAAACTGCACTGTACTGTAGTGTGCTGGCTGACACAGGGAGAACTGCCTGCGTTCCAACAGGCTTTTAATTACACGCTGCTATTTTGGCAAAGCCAAACACAAACAACTAAGAAGCCGCCATGTGCACACAGGGTGGTACTCTAACTCAGAGGCCCAGTAGCGGGGGGAGGGCTGTCCATGTAGATGCACCCCTCTGGAAGGGGGCTCTTGCAGTCTGAGAGCAAACATCGGAGCTTCTGCTGGGTCAAACCCGCAACACAATAAAAATATGAAACACAGCAAATATGAACCAACCTAATGACGCATGTAAAAGCAGCAAACAAAGGAGATTTAAATTGACTTAATTGGGTATTTAACCACAGCAGGCTGAGAAGTGTGGTCCTTACAATATCAACCTTTGTTATAAACTTTAGCTATTAATAGAATAAAGAACAAAGCTGTAATACAATTATAAACAGGTACAAGAACGCTAAAAAGAGTTGCCTATTTGCACTTATTCATAATTAATTTTGAACTTAATAATTTACTTATTAAGTAAAATCTTCTTTTATTAGGCCACCACAGTGTCACTGTTAAAAGCTCTGTGTTTTAATACTGATGTGGTTTATAACCCAGTCATGAATTCACTTCACTTTCCAAAAGACCAAAGAACAAAAGATGTGAAGGAATACTCAGGATACACTTATGAAAAGTTTGATGGAGGCGAGAAATACCAGTAAAAAAAAAACATTTCACTAGCTGTGGACTGAAATAAAAACTGCATTTAAGCCATTGAATAGTTTTTCCTATAGGTCAACACTGCAAACTCTGGTATAAACATGTTTTTACTGAGGTATGCAGATTAGTGTTAGTGTCTGTTGTTTCATTAACAGGGAGATGAATCTGGTTTCAAACACGGACTCTGTGTTCCCGTTTCTCTCTTTGGAAGAAGCCCATGATCCTTATAAGGAAACAGGGTGACATGTTAAACTGTTTCACTCTTGGTAGAAAATGTGTTTTCCTAAATTCATCTCCTAAACCCTTGGTATCCACCTAAGATCACCTATTAAAGATAAAAACACACATTGCACAAAATAATTTAATTGTATTATATTGAACCATCTAGTATTGTTCCCTAACCTCAATCATGCAAATGCTGCTACAACTAAACAATTCCAGATAAAAAGGTGCTGAAGCCAAGTTATTTTACTACCCCGTCCAAACTCAATCCCATATTCAAAAACATAACTTCATATATTCATGCTTCACTGGCAAGCCGAACAGACAGACCACTGATTTTTTTGGTGGAGCTCAACAGAGTCTTTCTCTCACATTTTACAACTGACCAAGACGAACTTCCCTTATAAAGGAGAAATCATTGAGGTTTTATACAACAACCCACAGCGATATGTTAGATGTCTGTCATAATGCCCAGGGAGCAACAAGGTAAAAATTGAAAATGTGATTGTTGATTCAAACTGCAGAGACTCTGGTACGACTCTAATTCCCAACAGGCAAAGACAATGGAGAGATTTAAGAGCTTGGGAGCTGTAACAGAAACGGATTACTGCTAAGAAGCTCTAGGAGGTGTGTCTGTCCCACACTCTGGCTAGCAGCATCTCGCAATGTTCAGTCATTCAAGCTGTAGAGTCATAGGACAGCATTCCAACTCCCCAAAAAAGCTAATTTTCTGTCACCCTTATGCTATAAGCATGCTCAGCGAAAGGTTACAAGAACTACTCAAATCTTTAAGTACTGCCTCACTAAAAGGTATCTTAATATACTGTAGGTGTTCTCTCAGGACATTGTTTAAAACACCTTTTAACCTTGCATTGCCCATCTCATAATGCTTGTTTGTAAGGACAAAAGAACAGGTTTACTGCTGCGGTCCCTGCAGCCCCAGTGCAGTGCATGCTGAAAGGGGGTGACCACGAGCACGTCGCCGGGCGCAGCTCCGAAGGCAGCCTCATGGTACCCACCCCTGGTTTGAAGGCCGGCAACCCCAGTCCCACGCCGATCGTGGCCTTGTTGGGGTTCACCACAGAGTTGTAGTGAATGTTGCGATGGTAGCTGACTCGGATCGGCTCGTCGTTGTTCTGATGGATGCCGTGGAACGTGTTGATCGGCTCTGGGTCCAGAGAGAGCAGAAAGAGAGGGGGAGAGCAAAGGGGTGAGTAAGACAGATGCATCCCTGTGACCAGTGTGGACATTAACTCTCAAAAGGGCAGAGCTGGACAATCACGCTGACCCATGTGAAATGTGCCCTAAAGACACAGTTTCCCATTACAGCCCAAGAATAAAGTAACTTTAGCTGTTCCTCCTAAATGAAAGAGTACATAAAATATACAAAGACTGTAAAAGAAGAAAGCAGTACTCAGCAAAAAAAAATATATATATATTTTTTTATTTCCAGCCAACTAGGTCACACTAAGAATATGCTGATTTTGGACATACTGGTATTCTGCGAAATTATGCATGTAGCTGCTCTGAAAGGAAGTCCTGGTTAAAACTGCTCTTGCATCACCGTGAACTCATTCTGTAAAAATAACTCTCAGCGCAAAACCGAGGAGAATCAACTAGAATAGTGGTCCCTCAGCCCTGGTCTTGCAGTACCCCTGTGCTGGTTTTTGTTCCAGGGCTTTTTGTTTGCTAACTGCTCCTTTTTCATTAATATGAATATGCTTGCTTGTTAAGGGATTTTTACCATTCTCATTTCAAGGTTTCAGAAATGCCACAACATCATGGTTCTCAACCCTGGTCCCGAGCAACACGTCTACTGGTTTTGCACCAGCAGAATTCCTAATCGCAGGGAAATTTACTATATTTAAAAATCGTTTGAATCTCTTAAACAGCTGAATGAGATGTGTATTTGATGGGAACCCTGTGCTGCGTTCCTGGGCTGCCCTCATCCAGGTGTGCCAGCTGATATATAACCAACTGCACTTGAGCAGAAGGACAGACACCCTGAGAGAGGTGACTAATACAGGCTCACTCCCACCTGGGTCTGGTCATCAAATGATCACCCCCGAAGAGCTATTTTTTGAGGAATTAGAGAATAAATTCTTAGCAGGTTGAGGAGATCCTGCATTATTTTCTGTGTGCTAAAGTTATTGAAATAATACGCTTTTCATGGGGTATTTGTTTTAAAACAAAGGACTTGAGCTCAGAAATTAATGTCTAAATAAGCAAGCATAGCAGGTACAGGTACCAGTTAGCACTGGTGATTAATGGACCAGCTGGAACAAAAATCAGCTGACCAGACGAGTTTTCCAGGACCACGACCATGGACCTAGATGATATGACACCATGAGCACGAGACGGTGGACAGCATGCTGGAGCTGGCCCAGATTCTTCTTTTCCCTCAATCCTTGTTCTGTGTGATACAGACCTTTCCTCACACTGTTTTTGTTTAATAGACCATTTTTCCCAGCCCTTCCCAGTCACATGGAAGAAAAGCATAAAAAAAAAACAAGCTTGTGCATGAAAACTGAAAAGCATGGCCAACAGAAAACATCATCAAACCTATTTTCACAGCACAGGACACTGACATCTTAAAGGACCAGATTCTGATGAATCAAGCAATTGCTATGCAGTAATGGATCAGGGCAGGGCTTCATAGTATTTATACCCAGTGTAAGACATTTTATACAGCCTTCCCACAGGAGAAGAGCATCAGCACGGTCACTCAACACAGCCCCACAAGACGTTTTCATCTCTTCCGCCAACAAAGACTAACAAATGGCTTAAAAGAACAGTGACTTCCTGAAATTTGTTTTAATTTGCCTGCCAGAACAGCAAAGGAAATTAGCTGAGTATCGCAGTGAGTAAGCTGCTTCTGTCATTAAACTTCAAAGGGAGATTTTTCTGGACAGAAGCCAAATTCTACTATAAGGGCAATATGCAAACTATGCAATACTATGCAAAGCTCAAGGGTGCAGGAAATATTTCAGGATTAAGCACATTGCTGCATTAAGTCTCCGCAGGGTACAGACCAGTGGCATCCAGAGGGCTTCGGCAAAACTCACATCCCTGATCCTGAGGCAGTCGGAAAATGGCCTTACTAGCGAAGCTCAGCTGGCATTCAGTACATGCACAAACCTGTCACCCGTGCTCCGTCAGTCCTGCTGGGAAAGCACTGCTCATTACCTGATTACACTGACTGGAATGCACACTGATCGCACAGCCACACTCCTCCATTCAACCTGAACCAGCGTTCCCACAGATATACCCAGTCCGGACACTGTGGTTCCCATTCCAAAACCCCCGTGCCCGACTAGGTCAATTGATCTTTTCATGGAATGGCTATCAGGTTGGGAGATGAAATCTGGTCCATTCCTTGTATCCCCAAGAAGAAGAGCGCCAAAGAATCACAAATAGAAAGATTCAAACCTCCCACAGCATTCCTGCCAAACTTCAACTAGTTCAACTAGCCTCGGCCTTAGATCTGTCACTCATAAATCAGAATGACAAAGGACCGCAGCAAACCTTCTGGTGCCTTATGGGATAAAGCTTATTACACCAAAGTGCACCAAAACATTTCTTGTTGAAAAAAAATTAACATTTCTATTATTTTGTGTTGCCGTGCAATAAACAGACTGAACAGCTCACAGACAGACTATACATCTGCTTAATTAACACGGGCAGTGAAAAGGAACCTGTTAGAAAAAGCGAATTCTTAAAAATATGGCATAAGGCATTTTGGAACAGCAACACCTGCTGTCTAATCCACAACAAGTGATATAAAGGTACCAGCGTCAACCATTTTTATTGCTGCTTATTTCTAAATGTTTAAAATCACAGGTTACAAATGAAAGAACAAGACATCTAGTCCATTTTGTAGTTTGTTGCTTATTGATCCTAAGATCTCAACCAGCTATTTCTTGAAAGAACCCAGGGTATGGGCGTCAATAAAATGGCCCTGTGCCACACTCCCACAACCATTTGTGTAAAGAAGTGCTGCCTGTTCTCAGTTTTAAATGTACAAGTTTTGTGTCCACTGGTTCCACACTCACAAATTTAGTGGAACCCACACCAGGTCCATCTCTTTCCACACCTGGTTTCAAAACAGCACATGGAACTATAAGAGGAGTACTATAAGCACTATGGAATTCTAATCCTGACAGCATTACGCAACTCCTTGTTAATTCACTGCTTTCTGTTCCGAAAAGAGAGAGGTAGATCTGGTGCCATGTGGTTTCAGTATCCTCCAGTGAAGAGAAGCATCCTGTTTCTGTGAAAACCTCCAAGAGGTTAAAGGAACAGTGAGATCCGAAAGTGAGAACTTGCTTTAAAAGAGATGGGGCTGCATGTTGAGTCAAGCATCTGGGACGGCGGTCGATACCACTGCCTCCGGTTTTGGATTTGGAGGGGATTATTTTCTCGGTGACGTAGGCCGTTCCAGAAACAATACGAGATCTCCAAACAAGCTTTCAGGAACAAGCTGTTTGAGAACACAGTCGCTCAGACACACAGGCTTGTGGGTATGGTCATACAGGTGCGGCTCTCCTCTCCACGCCACTCCGCGTTCACACCGAAGGCAGCGCCAACTGTCACACAGGCCTTCTTCTGTTGCTCAAGGAGAAACGCTGCATGAGCTTCGAGAGCTTGCGTGGGCTTTTGCACACTCGCTGCAAGTCGTTTACCCCGAAGAATACACAAAAGCAAGGAAGGCTGTCCTTTCTCGCTGTAGATGTTATCGAACGTTCCAAAACCAAACACCGTGGAAGGAAAGGGAAATAATCTGACACAAGGAAAATGTCTGTCAGAAATGCGAAATGATGACATAACACAACGCAATCACACTTCAGCACAACGCTGAGAAACAGCGCTGTACGAAAATAGCTGCAGTTCTCCTAAAACAAAGAAAGGCCAGATGGCACACAACAGCAGCTCAGACCAGCCACTGATTATACCAAAGGTTACCCCTTCTCCGTTGCTTAGATAGCAAGAACTGTCACTATAGCGTTTTGCATGTATTTCCAGCGAATCAACATGCTGCCAAACCAGCACAACTCAGCCAGGAGACACAACACTTCCTGGTGCTCAGCCATTCAGAGCTGTTCTTTTCAGCACGGGCTGATGAGAAGTCTTTCCTTGCTCCAGTGGAAGAGTTGTAATTAATTTGAGCAAGGCATGGTACTGTAACATCTGTAAGCATTATGTACTGTACAGGAGTTACAGTATCCTTTCATATCATAAATCAAATGGCGTGTTTTTTTAACAGGATAAGCAAGCGGTCTGAACAATCGCACAACACAGCACAACTCCAACTCAACACGTGACATTGTTTTTTTTTTTTTGCTTTATTCAATTCGGAGTGCAAGCGAAACTATACACTGATTGTTTTGGACAGAACAAGGTTTCTCAATACACAAGATTGAGATTATACCTGCAAATCTCAGATTGTCACACACCAAAATCCAGGTGTTTTCTCAGTGTTCCCCCTCCTCCTGATTCTCATCTGTGAGAATGTGTGCGTTTGTGAGCTGGGAGGGGCAGGCAGGTGCAATTTGATCCAGTAGTCTGATAATTACCTGTTTTATCCGATTCTTACTGAGTGTGAAGAGGCAAACAAAAGCTTCGCTTCACAAGAAAATTAATTTCTGAGACACCTGTGCCGCTTTCAGCATGAAAAACACAATAGACAATGGAAAAAAAACACCAATACCAAGTCTGTGTGAATGAACCCAAAGAGATGAAAATTAAATTAGGCCTTCTGTACCCTACAATTTCAAACATATTACTTACACATACAAACCGTGACAACACAAAGTGCTGGGACTGCTACAGTTTTACAAAACACAAAACAGAAAGGCTAAGAAAGAACTAATCTCAGAACCCCTAAACTTACATCTGAATTTAGGATTTTTCTAATGTTGCATACTGAAAAGCAAGAGATGACTACAAATTCTGTCCACTCAAAGTGGCATTCCAGCGACATCCTTTCAACATCAAACAAAGTTGATTACAGTTCCATCTTAACACCCGCACTAAACTGAGCACGGTGGCCTTGCCCGAGATCTTTCCAGCACACGGCGAAGTTACCACGCGACTTCTCTCATTTTTCTTCAGCAATTCTCTCTGTATGCTGGTACAACGTGTGCCTCCTAGGCCGGTATCGGGTGCGGGCCCTGCACTTCTCTAAAGCCTGCCATGCAAACAGCCAACTGGTTTCCAACGGCTACTTCCAGGCGAAAATAACTACAGAGATCGATGTGAACTTGTGTCGCTGAAAGCTGCATCGTCTTAGCGCAGCACGTGCATCCCACAATTCACAGTTCTGAAAGACTGTTAAAGGGTTAAGCGGCATCCCACTGCAGCAGCCTGGCCGATGGCAGTCCCCGGAGCGAGTGTGTTACCATGTTTTACAAGCCCTTCAAAAACCGGAAGATAATTTGGAAGGTCTGGCACGGGGGCGTGCTCAGAAGGGGAACGTGACATGACAGTTTTACTTCCGGGGGGAAGTCTCCGGGCTCTACCCTGGTGAGGTGGATAGGACCCCACGTGGAGCCCGCAATCCCCTGGCGCTCTGGCCAGATTCCCCAGGACTCGTGCCGTAGCCCGTGACCAGCGGAGACGAGTCGCCCCCGGAACCGAGCACTCAGCAGCGAGACTTCGGGGAAATGGAGACGCGAGGGGAAACCGATCCAGCAGCCCGCAGAGGGCAGTCCTTCACCTGGAGCCCCAAGCTTTCAGGTTTCATTTGCTGGACACAAGAAGTGCAATAGGAGCAGAGGGAGATGTGCGTAGATGCTCTGTTGCACGTCCATGACCGCCGTTTTAATTTTTAATGCGCAATTATTTTAGGTTGAGAGTTGTTGGTTGTTTTGTTTTTTTTGTAGTTTTGTACGATCATGCCGAAGAGAAATGTCAACCCTTTTGGACGGACAATAAAACAGCAGAAAGAGAATTTTAAAAGTAATCATTTGCACCTGCCTGCACCATCAGAATGAGCAGGCAGACAGGAAGACAGATGCCTGAACCCTCCCAGGGACCCTGCTGGACCCCAGTCCAGATAACCAGACCGTCGCTTTGTGCCACAGCAGGGAAACGCACCTGTGCCATACTGATAGACCTCCACAGGTCGGTTGTACATCTCCGCCATTGCCTGCATCTCTATGTGGTTCCCGTGACAGTTGTTTTTCCTCTTTCTGTTGATGTACGTAGTGAAGTCTTCTGTCACGTAATTAGAGAAGTAGTCTGCGTTCTTCATCTGCAATACAGGGGATAAGAGAGAAGAATGACATCTTTGCCCAATACAGATTTTTATTAGTCCTCCAAACAAAGCTAGTCAACACAATCCCCGTAACAACATTTTCATATCACTCTGCCCTCCCGGTATGGCCAGAGCCAGGCTTCCGCACGTAACCAAAGACGACTGAAGCTTCAATAACTGAGCTTGACGTATAGAAACGATCATTTAATGAAAGGGGAAGGTAGAAATGACTCACCAAGTAGTCCATACAGTGTTTTCGGACCACATCGTGCATATCTTGGTCCCCATATACTTGATCAGCTGCAAACAGATACAGAATCATGAAGTTACACACGGTCCTCTAAAGGAATGACCTTCATCCTCAGGCAGCTATGTGTGTGTGCAGACAGGGTGAATACCTTTATTCTACTCTAGTTCATAGTATTTGACACTTTTCATGCAAGCAGATTTGATTGGCAGTTTGCCTTTTAAATGACTTAAACTGACCACATGGACAGGAGGAACATTCAGTCAGAATCTCAGGCTCAGCTATCCATTTTAGCACGGGCTACCAAGCAGCTCACACAGTAAGGCTCTGCCCACTTACTTAATAAGCATCATTTAGCTTGTGTTTCCATCCCCAAGTACTTTACACACAGGCGGAGACCCACTTAATTCACTTCTGAAGTGCAGCCCCACATGGCTGACATGTGACAGCCCACCACACAGCAGCTCAGGTAGAGAAGTGAGACATTCCTTCACCAGCTGAATGAAAGGGAACCTTAGGGAGGCCTGGATGTACAAGCCCAGGGTGGAGGATACCCAGGACACCCAGGTTACGAACCAGCCCTAAAAACGGCCACGGAATCTTTAACGACCAAGCAGTTTGACCCCGGTTTAACGGCACATTCGAACGATGGCACCTCCCGCGGCACAGTGTTCCCCTGCCACCACGCCACCACACTGGGGTGTGAAATTCTCATCCCGAGGGGAGAGTGATACCTATTGGGCCACCAGCACCACTCACAGCAGCAAGCTGGTTTTCCCTGGAGGTCTCTCCCACCCCTTTCCAGTGCTGACCAGACCCAGCCCTGCAGAGCCTCTGAGACCCGACTGGTGGTAGACAGCCCTGACTTGAGCTGGGGCTTCAGGACACTGTGCAGGGACAGCCACAGCAGTGGCACACAACAGGCCTGAGTGCTGAGTTTTAGTCAGCTTGCCCAGGTACCCATGAGCCCAGAGCCAGCTCGTACCGTTGAACAAAAGCACACGTTTAGCCGGCAACAGCCTTACTCATGCTGGCAGGAGAGCTGTACAGGCAAAGTCCAGCGGACCCAGGATTGGCTGCGTCACACGAGGGGAGAACAAAAAGAACTGGTAACTCAAATCTCGAAAAGCAACAGTCACATGAGAAGCTGTGATGCCTTAAATTGTTTTCAAGTCAATCTCGCAGCCGATGTAAGGCTAACTTGTACAGAGGAACGCAGAAATGCTCTTGCCATGACACTGTCACCTCAGAAGGGGAGGCATGGAGCATCGGGTCAGAACCAGTCCAACAGGAAGGATAAGAGACAAGAATTTTATTTGAACCCTTTTTGTTTATTTTTAAATACTTTAATCCTTAGAAGAAAAATAACTCATTTGTATAGGTTATATTACTGTTTTAAGCAAAATTTACCACAGGGCTTTACGAATAGTAAGTGAATTTGCAACAGCCCTTTGATTTTCAAAGTTTCAAATCCAGGTTGCGTTGTGAGGGTGTGGCCAGTTCTTCCAAACCGGCCTCTTTGAGGGGGAAAAAAAACAAAGGTGAGGAATAAATTCTGCAATAAACCTTATTAAAACAGCAAGAATTTAGCTGATAATTATACAAAGTGAAGCTTCTCGCTCGCTTGTGTGACTGTGTGAACTCACGTTCCTGGATCTTTATGAAGATTTGATGCAGCCTGCTGTGCTGTTACAGGGCCTCAGCAGACCTTGACGTGTGGCTGTTTTAAAAGAGTTTCCCTACTGCTTTTTTACAACGCACTTCAACCTACTTAAAGCAACCATGGAATTTCAAGTAGGGAAAACAACCAAATAAAAACCATCTACAAAAACTCCATCTGTGCTGCACAGACTCTACCACGAGGACCACCTTGGGTGATCTCTTCTGCAATGTGGCATAAAACTGGAGGCATTTTGTGGCCCTCATGTTTCAGCTTTGACTACATCGTAGCACCTGAAATAAAACAAAAATGGGACATGCAGAAAAATTCACAGTGACTCACTGGAGGAAAGAGCTAAATATGCAAACTTCCAGCTCAGGGTTCAGTTCATACCGATTTGCCTACTAGTTCAGCAAGGCTGGAGTGAACTTCACAGGAATGTGTAGCTGGAACAAGATACCGAATTGCACAGTAGGAGTCAGGGACACATTGCAAAGGAAAGATATTGCCAGTAAAGCAATGCGGAAGTAGCCATAATTTGCATATAGACAAATAAAGGCCATGTATGTCTCATCTGAAAGATGTGAATTTATGTAAAGATGATGTTTGGCTTTTCATAGGGGAACTGGGAGTATTGCATACTTCTGGACAAACGATCCCAGTTATTAACTCCTTCATTCAAGAACCACATCTTTTCTTGTACAGGTAACCAGACATGGTCGCCTCAGGTCTTTGGCGTCTGTAGTAATGACACAGATTTCTTACCCTGTCAGTGGTATAAGAGCATTGAGGTGAGCCACACGAGACATCCACTGTAATCTTATGCTCGTGAGATCAGGAAAAGGAAGAACCCCCCCTGGCAGTGCATTGGCCAGTTTCTGCAAATAAGACAGCTCAGCAGAGAAGCAGGCTAGGAGAGGTGGTGGCAGGCTTCTCTATCTAACAGGATGCGAATGAAACCAGGAGTGTTAGTCAAATAAGGGAAGGGGAATTTTAGGGTTTTCCCCAGTATCAGAAACGCCTTTTTGTGTTTGATATTAACTCTTGTGTTTCCAGGAGAAGCCCTTCACTGCACTTGGCGATTAAAAGGGAACAAAGTGAATTATTCCTCTGGACGGACACCCTGTGTTTACAAAAAAGAGCACCTGCCTACACTGGTACGCAAACACGAACCTTTCCAGCCTCTGCAGAAGACCGGTCTACCGAGGAGAAGCAAACCGTTGCTGAATTGCCGTTTTTGTGACCCAGCTCTCACGGACATCTCAGGAGTCCTGCAGGAGGGTTCTGTGCTGGCCCAGACCAAATAACAGACCAGGCAAAATGCAGAATAATTAATGGGAACTAAAAAAAAAATTCTGGCAAACGCCTTCTGACCCACGGTGATTCAAAAACACAGAACTTAGGATTCTGAAGCCAGCACGACCCAAAACGTACAATGGGAATCTGGGGGTCTAACTGCTGAACTGCACACGGTAGTCAGAGTAAATGAAATGGCGATTCATTAGTGTTATGTGGAACCGCGGCCCAGGGATGAGCACCCGTGTTGTCTGCCTTAGGACAGCGTTTCTTAACCGGCGTGCCTTCAGACACGACTGGGTCGGCCGCGCAATCTCGGGAAACCCAGGTTCGGATTTTCAAGTCCGACAGGAATGAAAACGGGAACGGAGAAGGTCGGAGCGCAGCGTGCCACTGTCATGAGGTCCTGCCTGGATGGCACCAGTGTGCGCAACGAAGCCAATTCAGAATGAGCGGTGAAATAAGTTTTGTTGACAATATTAATAACAGTGCGCTCCTCCACCTGTGGTGTGTGTGTGTGTGTATGGGGGGGGGGGGCGGATTGTTTTATATTTGGCGTGGGTCGGACAAGGAGGAGGGACTGTGCTCCACATCAGCGAAATGGCAGGCACAGTTTCACTTTCCACTTCAAACCATACGCTGGAGACACTGCAGAAGCACCCGCGGGGGAAAAACCGCCGAACACCCCAAAAAGGGAGCCTTTCAAAAAACTCTGGGAATCCGCCGTGTCCTGTCAGCCAGGAACAGCGGAGGAGGACTCCGCCGATCCGTGGGGCGCCCATGACCGAAAACGCACCCAGCTCGTTCACAACGCACACCCCGCGCACAGAAGGGGAAGAAATGGCGCCGGCGGGCAGAAGGCGGGTTTTGACATTTTGGCGGGCTCTCGGCGTCGAGTCACGGAGCGCCACAGATGTAAACAAGACCTTGCGAAGGGGTTTCGGCTCTGACACTGCACCCTCCTCCCCGCACCACGGAGACCAAATATGTAAATGAGCCCCAACTCGGGCTCTCATTCCAGCAAGTCACATGGTGCCGCCACGTTTCTGAGAAACTCTGAGTCAATTTCCTCTTCTGCGGTCTCACCCCGCGTTAAGGCCACGCAGTGAGAGAAGCAGTGCCGAGCAAACTTCAAATACCAAACCCCCCCCCCAAGAAGTGCAAAACCACAACACTTGTTTTTTTTCCCCTTTTCAGTCGTCTTCTCGGGCTGCTGTTGTGTTTAATAATAACTGAAAAGATGTAGCACCGCCATCAAAGTTTTTAAGAAACCGCATCCAAGAAAGAGCCTAAAATACATTATCTCGATAGACAAGGGTCAGGGGTCTGATGGATAGTAAAGTTGAAGGCTCATACCAATGACACTGCAGTCATATTTTTAATGCTGCACAGCTGCACAGGATCTGCATTAGAGTCCATTAAATTGCATTATTAAACCGTGAAACTCCTGGGGTTCAGGGTGGCGTGTCTAAGTAACTCTGCTACCAGGGAAGGATGGGTTAGGGTTATGGCAAGGGCCCGGCCTTCAGCTGATGGATCGGGGAGCTCAGGGGTGAGGTGTGCGACACGCAGAGCCACTGCGCCACTCCTCTCTCCGGGGATGAGTGAGCTTCCGAGTCCTGCGGTCACGGCCTTCCCTTCGAGAGCTGAAAGCAGGTTCACTTCGGCTCCCAGTTCCATCTGCACAAACCCGATTCGTTGACCTCTGGGGTCGCTCCTGGCTTTGACAGCGAGAAACACGAGCACACTTCCCAACGGCACGTCTATGTTTCGGAAGGGGGTGGATGCAAACGTGGCTGCTAATCCTCGGAACAAGCTAAACGAGCCCAAAATGACCTCTTTCTCGTGTTGTTCTATGTTCCTTAAGCAGCTCTCATATTCCGATTTGATTTCATTTTCGTCTTGAGGAAAAGATGGCGCTGTTAATGGCGCCAACAGGGACAGGGACCGAGTTTCGAGTTGCTCAGAAACTGAACATGTGGCAAGTGTGTCTTAGGGTCACCCTGCCAAACCGCCACTTTATATCCCAAAAATAAAGACACCATATCTGCCATCCTGCAGCCTGCAGAGACTCTCCCCTGGGGGACAGCAGACATG